TTCCTAGCTCTTGCAGAACAAACAAACACCTTTGCTTAAGAATGACTAGACTCAGGGTATTGGCCTAGTTTAATCTCTGGTTTTGCTACTTAGTATGGAACCTAGGGCTTCCTGAGTCCGAAGCAGGCCCTCTGCCACTGAGCAGCCCCCTATGACATAGTTCCCTTCCCTTCCCTTTTGTGTCTCACTCTGCAGCTCAAGCACAGGCTGGCCTCAAACTTGAAGTAAATGCTAAACACTAAAATTACAGGTATCATGACAGTACTGCTCTTGGCTGAGATATTGTTAGAAACAATGACAACTATCACAAAGACAAGCAGAGCTGGGCTGGAGAGGTGGTTCAGAGGTTAAAAGCACTGACTGCTCTTCCAGAGGTCCTGAGTTCAAGTCCCAGCAACCACATGGTGGCTCACAACCATCTGGTGCCCTCTTACGGCCTGCAGGCTGACATGCAGACAGAATACTATATTCACACAATAAATAAATCTTCTAAAAATTATTTAAAAAAAAAAAACAAGCAGAGACATCCACCAGGTGGCGACAATATAAATAAAATGTTGATTAGCCACATACTGGAATATTATTTGATCATGAAAAGGGATGAAACACTGATCTGTGCCACAATGTAGATGCACCTTGAAACAGGAAGCTGAAACGAGCCAGGCAGAGGAAGTGGCATTTTAAGACAGATGAGGCAGACCAGGTGTGGTAGCACACACCATTGATCTGAGCTACAGTGCTCTAGTACTGCCAGAACTACACAGGGAAGCCCTGTCTCAAACAAAATAATACAAGCAGGGCAGTGGTGGTGCACACCTTTAATCCCAGCACTCAGGAGGCAGAGGCAGGTGGATCTCTCTGTAGAACACCCTGGTCTACAGAGCAAGTTCCAAGACAGCAAGGGCTACATAGAGAAACCATGTCTCGAAACAAAAAGAAAACAAAAACAAAACCCAAACCCAAGACTGGAGACAAAAGCTAATAGATCACAGTTCTATGCCAGTCTGTTAGGAGACATGGAGGGTGGAAGGGTCGGGGGAGAAAGGAAAAAGAGGAGGGAGTGGAGAGGGGAGGAGGTAGGAGGGGAGGGGACAGGAATTTTGTCACCTCACACAATCCCATCAATGTGTTATGTCCAGGGCTGCCAGGCTGGGGAGAGGACCAGTGGGGCACACACACGTGCATTGTCTCTCTGAGGGCGCCCTAACTGCCACAGAATTGTCCACTGATAAGGATAAATTTTATGTTACACAAGTTTTACCTCAAAAGATAAAAAGCTACCTAGGTTTGGTGGTACACACCTGTCATCCCAAAACCACAGGGATAGAGGCAGGGGGATAAAGAATTCAAGGCCAGCCTCAAGTGTGAGGGCAACCTGAGCTACATGACACTCTGTCTGAAGAAAACAAAACAAAACAAAAACAAAAAACTAAGGGACTATAAAGATGGCTCAGTCTCAAAAATGCCTGCTACACAATCACAAGTTTGGATGGCCAGTGCCCATATTAAAAAACAAATAAACAAAAACCAGCCAGGAATAGAGATGCATGCCTGTAACTACAGCACTGGGAGAGAAGAGAGGTACATCCATTACCAAAATGGGCAGGCAGGCTCAGTGACAGATCCTGTCCAAAACCAAACCAAACCAAATCCTCTCCAGACAACTGCTAAAGGGGGTAGGGCAGATAGAGGAAGACGCTTGACACTGACCTCTGACCTGGCATGCACACAGATACTACACATACACAAACAAACAAATAAATGTCATGGAGATGGCTCAAGAGGTCGAGGCACTTGGTGCCAGGCCTGACAACCTGGGAGAATTGCCATCAACAATGTTAGCTGTGACCCCATATGCAAAGACAGCAGGATATGTCCCCTGGGGCAGTAGTGGCCTATCTGCTATGGGCATAACCAACTAACTTTCTGCCTTGACACATCTAGAACTGGGAACACCATCAAAACACTGTCTGGGCCGGACGTTGGTGGCGCTTGCCTTTAATCCCAGCACTCGGGAGGCAGAGGCAGGTGGACCTCTGTGAGTTCGAGGACGGTCTGGTCTACAGAGAGAGTTCCAGGACAGCCTCCAAAGCCACAGAGAGAAACCCTGTCTGGAAAAACAAAACAAACAATAATAACAATAATAATAAACATGGATTTGAGGGTTGGATACACATTAATAAATTAAAGTCAATAAACTTCTCACTTTGAAAAATATAAACTGCTAATTTAAAAAGAGTGAAATATGAGGATGGAGAGATGGCTCAGTGAAGCACTGGCAGCTCTCACAGAGGACCCAGGTTCAATTCCCAGCCACAACATGGCGGCTCACAACCATATGTAACTCCAGTTCCAGGGCTCTTCTGACCCCCAAGGACACCAGGCATGCACATGGTACATAGACAAATGCTGGCAAAACACACACATAAAGTAACTAAATCTCAGAACAATAATTAATCAAAAATAATTTAATGGAGTGAAGTAGGCTAGGTGAGGTATGCATACCTATTATCATAATACTCTTGAAGGCAAGAGATGAGGAGTTCAAAGCCTACCTGTGCTAAAGGCCAGTGAGGACTACAAAGTGACACCCTGACTCAAACAACAACAAAACTCACCAGCCTGGTCTACAGTGTGAGTTCCAGGACAGGCTCTGAAGCTACAGAGAAACCCTGTCTCAACACCCCCCCCCAAAAAAAAGGGGCTGGAGCCAGCTCAGCAGTTAAGGTTTCTTCCAGGTGACTCAGTTTGGTTCCCAGCACCCACAGTGGGCAGCTCACAACAGCTCCTCATCAGGCTCACTCCTCTGACCTTCACAGACACCCACGTGCACACAGCATATACTCACAGACACAGAGACATGTGTCCCTCCCACTCACTCCCCAATGTCTCCATGCTCCCCACTACAGGCCTCCAGTACCCACCACTCTCTTACTCTCCAGCGGCTGTCACTCTTCTGGTTGCAGATGTCCCTGCTCTGCAGTTACTGGTACCTGTGAAGAGTCCCTGGCTATGCCCTGACCTTATGCTGAACCTCTCAGTTACTGATCAGCACCTCTGGGAACAGGCAGGGTCTATGTCTCCTCTTGGTGACTGGGCTTCCCCACAGTCAGCGATGACCCTCCAGCCCCAATGCCGACTTAGGTCCACAGGCCTTTCCCTGCATAGATCCCCCACATGAGGGCCAACTTCACCCATTGTCACATGGACCAGTGCTCTTGGCTCCTAACACCCACAAGCCAGAGAGTGTCTGAATGTCCTCCTCAGCCTCCCAAGGCAGGAGTTCCTGGCTCTGGGTCAGTGTGAAGATGTAGGGTGTGAGTACTCTCTAAGAGTGCTCCCTAGTCGGGCGTTGGTGGCGCACGCCTTTAATCCCAGCACTTGGGAGGCAGAGGCAGAGACCAGCCTGGTCTACAAGAGCTAGTTCCAGGACAGCCTCCAAAGCCACAGAGAAACCCTGTCTCGAAAGCCCCCCAAAAAAAGAAAAAAAAAAAAAGAGTGCTCCCTAAGTCAGATGCTCTTCCCTTCAGATTCCAGATCGGTTCACAAATGTGTATAAACCCTGCAGTGTATTGCAGCAGCAGGTTTGCACATTCAAGGTGCCACCCAGTGAAACACTGTCTCAAAAGTGGCAGTGGGTAGGGGTGACCCACACAAACAGGAATGTTGATACATGCCTGCCACCCTGACACCAGGCTGAGGCAGTATGATCAGCAATGTGGTGTTATCCTCAGCTACACAGCAACTTGGAAACCAGCCTGGGCTACATGACTCCTTGTCTTGGAAAAACCAAAATAAATATTTAAAGATATCTGTCATCTTTATGAAAACTCCCACGTCCAAAGAACCCTCTTCAGACGCTGACCAGGGAAAAGGGGGACCCCACTGACCAAAAAGAGATGGATGTGGCTCCATTATCTGAGGGCAAAAACCTCCAATCCAATGAGGATGGAAGCAAGGGGTCTCAAAGAAAGACTCCGCCCTCAAGACCCTTTCGCCTCTTTCACAGTGCTCAAATTCCCCAAACCACACCCCCATCTCTGACAACCCTTGGGACTCCCCTGGCTGTCAGGACACTGGCCCCAGTGTTCCCTCCAGACATGCTCAAGCCCCTTGTCCACCTATCAGGCCCCCTAGACAGTTTTCTGCAAACCAGGACCTGTTGAGGTTTCCTAGTGGCCCCAGTGTCTCCCGGGCATTCCCAGGCCCCCAGGTGACTGTCTTCAATATCGCCCTCCAGACATGCCCAGGCCTCTGATTCCCTGCCAGGCCCCTAGACTGCACCCTGTCCATCAGGGCCTATGGAGGTCGCCAGGTGGTTTCAGTCTCTCCTCCAGGCACGCCTTGGCCCCCAGCCGGGCCCCGGGGTCCTCGTGCGGCCTCCCACGTCCGTCACCTTCCCAGGCCCCCTTCAGCCTCCGGCTCCGCAGCTCCCAAGAAGCCCGGCCTCAGCCTGCTTTCAGGCCCGCGCGCTTGCTCAGGGCCGTGGCAGCCGGACTCCCGGAACGATCACGCTCTGGCGGTCCCAGGTCGGCGCCGCCCCGGCCGAAAGGTGCATGCCCACGGAGGCGCGGGACTCACCTGCTCGGGCGCTCCGGACTCTGGCCAGAGCCACTGCTGCCGCCGGACTCCGCCATCTTCCGCCAGGCGCCCGAGCGACAGCGACGCGCGCCGACCCGGAGACCGAGGCCCGGGCAGCGGGCGGGGCCTGCTGAGGACGAGGGAGGGACTCGGTGGGTGATGGGCGTGGTCTCTGGGCGGAGCTTGTTATCCCAGGGGCGGGGCATAATGAGAGCAGAGGAGGAGTCAGAGAGCAATGGGCAGGGCCTAAAGAAGTCTAGGGGCCGGTATGAGGGGCGGGGCTTGGAGAGAGCAAGGGCGGGTCCTGAGGCGGTAGGCGGGGTTAAGGGGAGGAGCCTGTGAGGGAGGTGGAGCTTAAGAACTGGGAGCAAGGGCTGGAGAGATGGTTTAGTGGATTAAGAGCACTGACTGCTCTTCCAGAAGACCCAGGTTCAATTCCCAGCACCCACAAGACCGCCCACAACTGTATGTAACTTTAGCTCCAGGGATCCGACACCCTGATATACATGCTGCTAAAACCACATAAAATAAAACTGGGAGCGGTACAATGAGAGCCATGGGCAGGGCCTAAGAGTGGGCCTGAGAAGAGAAGGGAAGGGTCTGAGTGGGTGAGGGGTCTGAGGGGTTGAGGGCGGAGAAGCCATGGCCCGAAGAGGGGCGGGGCCTGTGGAGAGACCTGTGTAAAGGGTGGCTCCGAGGGGGCCGTGTTTGGGGGCAGGGCCTGAGTTGGGCTGGGGCGGGGCTTGGTCTGGAGAAGGAAAGGCGGGATGGCGTGTGCAGGAAATGGAGCCAAGTTACTTCCCAGCATAGTCAGGAAGATGAGGGCGGCCTGAGGAGCGTGTGTGGGGAGGTAGATCTCTGCTCACCGGGAAAGTAGAGGACTGGAGGAGAGAAGTGGCCCAAGATGAGGAAGGGTAGCGTCTGGCCTGAGAAGGGCGTGGTCATCAGAAGGTGTGGCTTGTAATTAGAGCAGAGCTGACACTGCTGAAGGGGTGTGTCTGGCACGGGAGAAAGGCGGGGTCGATGGAGAGGCCTGGGCGTGGCCAAGGATAAGAAGGATCGGGACCTGGTCTGGTGTAGGGCGCGTGGTTAATCATGATGAGGGAAAGAGTCTGGAGAGTGCAAAGAAGGGAGGGATTTGAGAGGGGTCTTTGTATGAGGGGCAGACCCAGCCATGAAGGGCGGGGCGAGTAACCTGTGGGCAGGGAGTACACAAATGTGGGCGTGGCTGAGGATTGCACACACTGGTGAGAGAGGGTACCCAAATCCCTGAGTTTACAGAACCTTTCACCAGCGCCTTGCCGTGAGCAGCATCTCTTTCCAGCCTGAACCCATCTCTTTGACTTTCCATCCTATGCTCCAGCTCTCAGTAAAAGGCGTACTCAAAACCTCTGCCCTCAGGCCCAAACTCTCAAATCACATTTTCTTCTCCTCTATCTCCTGCTCATACCCCAGAGACACAGGCCGGCCTCCATATGCTCTGCCTTAAGAATTCTAGACTCCCATGCCTCAGCAATCTTTTTTTCTTCTGTTAAGACTGTGTCTCCTGGGGGCTGGAGGATGGCAGTGGATGGCTAAGAGGACCTGGGTTCAATTCCCAGCATCCACTTGGCAGCTCACAACTGTCTATAATTCCATTTCCAGGGGACCTGATGCCCATGGCAAAACACCAATGCACATAAAATAAAGATTTAAGAAACCTTTGTCTCCTGGACTGGGCTGCAAGGAAGCCTCCTTTCTCACCCTGCTGAGTGCTGGACTGAGGCATGTGTCACACCTGACTGTCTTCCTTTCTTCTCTCCCTTACGTTCCTGTTTAGGATTCTGTGGAGCACAGAGCCACCTGAAACAGAGATTTTATGACGCTGCAACCACTAGGAGCCCAGACTCTGCCTTGAAAGGGTGTAACTACCAGGACCCTCGAGCCTTTCACCCATTTATTTATTCTTTAGGCTTCTGAGCTGGTGACCATTGTGAAACCCCAAGTAGGTGGAGGCAGCCTTGTCAACCAGTCAGTCAGCTTGGAAGAGCAACCCCTTCAGGTAAAAGTAAACACTAGCAAATGTGGGGCTCACTCCAGCCACCCCAGCACTCAGAGGCTGAGGAAGTAAGATCAGGAATTCAGGGTCAATCTACCTATACAGCAAAAAAGGTCAGCCTGGGGTACCTGTGGTTCAAACAAACAAACAAAAACAAAGTGTGATGAAATGCAATGGAACACAGTAGGTGCTCAGACACTGTGTAAAATACCCAGGAGATGATACTGTGCAAACTGACAGACACCACTTATTGCCTTGTGAACAGTGAATTATTCATGTGCCAGTGTCTGCAATCCCCATGCTCAGGGGATGAACTCCTGTTCACCCATGGTCTGCTTTGAGAACTCTGGCCCCAACCGTGATGTATGCAAGCTCAACCCCACTGGCAGGGAGGCCCATAGCTCACATGCCCTCCACACATGCTGCCCCAATCAATGGTGTCCATATGTGTGCACACTTCACACTCATCCAGATTCAACCCACATGTCAGATACACAGCCCCAGCCTAGAGACAAGCAAGAGAGCATGCCCGGGGACACCACCTGTGTGATGCACACTCTCAGGTCAGGTCAGTAAGCTCAAGATGCCTCAGGATCCCATGGCAGAGGACCAGCCAGTGCAAAGGTCACAGATGGGTGTGAACCGCCATGTGAGTGTTGGGAACTGAATCTGGATTCTCTAAGAGAGCAGCTAAGCTCTTAACCACTGAGCCATTGAAATCTCAACCTCTTCGTTTTTTTTTTTTTCCTTCATTTTTTGTTTGTTTTACAAGATGCTTTAGGCTGCTTGTGGTGGCACACACCTACCATCCCAGAACTCTGGAGGCTGGGATAGGAGAAGCGGTACTTCAAGGCCAGCCTGGTTTATGCTGCTTCTTTCCAAGAGAGATAAGAAGAGTGAATGGAAGCCGGGGTTGGTGGCGCACGCCTTTAATCCCAGCACTCAGGAGGCAGAGGCAGGCGGATCTCTGTGAGTTCGAGGCCAGTCTGGTCTCCAGAGCGAGTGCCAGGATAGGCTCCAAAGCTACACAGAGAAACCCTGTATCGAAGAAAAAAGAAAGTATTTATTTTTCATTGTGGGTATATTTGTGTCAGCAGCCAAGCCCAACAACCTGAGTTTGATCTTTGGAACACACATGACAGGAAAGGACTCTTGCAAATCGTCCTCTGTCCTCTGCACACACACACACACACACACTGTGGCATGCACCCTCACTCTTCAACACAGAGATGATAGAAGATACATACAAGCCCGGCAGTGGTGGCACATGCTTTTAATCCCAGCACTCCAGAGGCAGAGGCAGGCAGATCTCTGTTGAGTTCAAGCCCAGCCTGGTCTACAAAGCTACACAGAGAAACCTTGTCTTGAAAAATAAAAGATAAAAAAAGTAGATAGATACAAAAAAGTCCATTTTGGGGTGTAAGGCCCACCCTGGTCCACTTTGATATTATCTGAATCTGATCATAATTACACTGACAAAAAACAAAACAAAACACTTGCAAGTGAAGCCGAGTTCTGAACTACCAACAGAAAGGACACTGGGACAAGGACTCCACTCCACTCATTAAGGAATTTTGTTGCTGGTTATTTTTGTTACAACAAAAATAAATATAATTTTATTTATTTGCATGTGTTCACACAGGTGTGGATGCCTGCCACAGTGAACACATGGAAGTCAGCAAGCAACTGTGGGAGTCACTTCTTTTCTACCATGTAGGATTCAGGATTCAGTCAGATTCCAGCTTGGTGGCAAGAGCTTTCATCCACTGAGAAATCTTCCCAGGCCCTTAGGGTTTTTTTTTTTAAGATTTTATTTATTTATTATGTATACAACATTCTGCTTCCATGTATATCTGCACACCAGAAGAGGGCACCAGATCTCATTACAGATGGTTGTGAGCCACCATGTGGTTGCTGGGAATTGAACTCAGGACCTATGGAAAAGCAGTCAGTGCTCTTAACCTCTGAGCCATCTCTTCAGCCCCGGGGTTTTTTATTTGTTACCAAAAGATGCAAATACAGATGAACTGCCACAAACTGAAAACATCTCAAGGCCCATCAACAGGTAGACTGTAAACATGCAGTCACTCAACAGCAGTTGACATGATGACATTCCAAAGCACTTCGGGAGAGTCCAGAATATCCCCGGGGGACATGAGGTAGAAGGGCATAGTTTGGTGTCAGGAAGAGCTCAAGGGACAGCCAGCAACAAGAAAAAAAGAAGGGTGTCTTTTTCACCCTTCACCCTCTTCACCCATTCAGACCTCCACAGAGTGAAGCAGCCAGACACCATGGAATTTGAGGACCGGCTGTGTGTCTATTCCTGTAACACTGAGAAACAGACCTTGCTGATCCATGGAGACAGGCCAGAGAAGGGGCTGCCTGGCTGAGCTGGTAGGGATGTTCTGGGTGACATGGGAAGACTATTTACAAAGACTCCTTTGCTGGGTGCTGACTGTGACTACAGAGGATGCAAGTCCTGTCACAAGAACTGATTCCATTGCTGGGTGGTTCCTGGCCTAACATGCCCAAAGCCATTTCCTCAACACGCCAAGAAAGGGGGAAAGCAAGCTCATCTATTTTGTATTGTCTTACTTCTTCATTTATTGTGTGTGTTCATGGGGAATGTTCATGTGTGCACGTGTTTAGAAGACAGGGGTCAGCCTTGAGTGTCATTCCTTAGGAGATGACCACTTGTTTGTTTTTAAGATGGGGGATGTAGTGGGGCTACAGCTACTGTTGAGAATTTAAATACACTCACAAAACCTTGCCCCTGAGTTCCAGAATATTTGTGAAATATATTCTAATGCAAAATACAAGCCCATGGCATGCATAGTGGTCAGTGACCAAGGCCCTCCCAGATGGTAAGAGCTGCACCAAGGCAGCAGGACCTTTAGCTGGGTCAAGGACAGCCTAAAGACACAATGCTATCTCTGCTAGTAAGAGTAAAAGACAAGATATTCTAGAATGTTCCAGAACATTGGAATATTTTGAGAACATTGTAGAAAAGTCCAGAATGTTCCAATACATTCCAGGTGGATGTGATGTAGACGTCTTAAGAAGTGCCAGAAAGAGCTCAAGGGAAAGTGATGGAGCCACATTGGGAAGCGGGGCAAGGCGGGGCAGAGAGAGTGTCGACAAAGATGTATTGAGAATGGCTTCCTCAGTGTGTGGGACACAGCTGTGACGGAGACACCAGCATGGCGCATCTGGCAGAGGGACCATTTATTAAACCAATCATCACAGAAGTGAATGAGCAGCGGCTTAATTGTCAACATGATAAAAACTGTAGTTGAGACGTTTTGACACAGGTTTCAGGCCAGAATTGGAAGGCTTGGGAGATTCTTTTAGGCCAAAGAACTCGTCAGGAGTGCACAAGGAACAGCCTTTAAGGCACAAGGAATAGCCCTTGTGGGGTCCAAGAGGCAGCTTTAGTGTGGGGATCTGACTTTTGCCCTCTGTTCCCTCCAGGAAGCCATAAGTCCCCATCCTTCTCTCACAATGTCCAGGGTGTTGTGTCGGCTAAACAGCAAAGCCTGGCTCCTTTCCTACCTAAGCCCTGGCAATGACGCTACCCCCATGCTGCTCTGTCGCTAGGGAAGTAGGATGCTGGTTCCCATGGCAACCCCCTGGACACATGGGTGTTCCTGCAGCTTGCAATTAGCCAGCTAGACACCTACCACCACCTGATCTGCATGCCACCCCACATGACAGAACAGAACCTTGGGGACCACTGAGTAAATGGAGGCTTCAAAGGCTGCATCAAGGCTGGATGTCAGCCGTGTGGTCTAACCAGCTAGCAGCCCTGGGTCCTTCCCTATATGTCCCATGGTTCCCTGAGGTGTGGCAAATCCCCTGAATCTGAGTTACCATGCCAAGGACAGGGAGGCAGCAGTCAGAGCACTAAAATGGCTGAAGAGAGACTCAAAGTAACACAAGATTCAAATTGCATCAAGGGGCTGGGGCCAGCGATGTTGGCAGAGCGCCTGTCCTGCATGCATGTGAAGCCCAGGATTCTGTCCCCAGCACTTCACAAACCAGGTGTGGCAACCCCTACTTGTCATCCCAGCACTTGGGAGGTGGAGGCTGGAGGATCAAGAGTTCCAAGTCAGCCTGGGCTACAGAAAGAAAGAGACCTGTGATCTTCTGGCCAGATTACAGTGAGCCAGGATTGATGTCTCTGCTCCATAGGGTTGACTGGAGATAATCCCAGATTACATCATGGGAACCTTGCTGATGCAATTGGTGTGAGGGGTGTTGTGCAACAGTAGAATACAGGAGACATTCGTGCCTATTCAAACTTGTTCTTTACCAGATAGGACTGGAGAGAAGCTGGAGGGGCCCAGAATGTAAGGGAAAGAGGCTCTGAAGTTGTTATGGAAACCAGGCAAGCTCCAGAGGTGAATGAAGGGCAAGCGTGGGGACTGAAGAATGGAGAGGGTACTCAGAGGTCCCCTCGGTGAGGGTCGCTGGAGGACTAGACCTGGGCTGACTAGTTAGAGTAGCCACTTTGGTAGAAAGAAAAATCATTGTTTCCCAGTACTAGGGAGTGACTGGATGTTTTGATTGCCAGTAGAGCACTATTGCAGTGAGGCCCCCTCCAGCCTGGGCACATAGTTCATGCTGCTGAGGATATACTCAAAGTCACTGAGAGAGGGCACAATGGCACAGCCCAGTTACCTCAGCACTCAGATTGAGGGGGAAATATTGACAGTTCTAAACCAGCTTGAACTACATAACAAACAAACAAACAAAACTACCAAACAAAAGCAATATAATATAGTAGGGACTCAATGGTTGAAGACTGACAGCCTAGGATCCCCTAGTGAAGGGGCAGGAGCGTGGCTGAGGTAGAGCTTCTCCCATCTCTCTGCTCAGCCAAATCCCCTAGGACAGACACAGACTGAGGCAGGCTCAACCACCGTCTTTTATTCACTTTATTTAAAGGTTTATTCCTCCTCATCTCCTCTGAGAAGGCAGTTCCCACCACTCCCTTTTTTCGGGGCTGAGTCTCCAGGGATAGAGGGAAAGGCTTTAGCAGAGGGGAACCCCTGAGACCTCAGCCCCCAAGTGAGGACACAGAGAAAGAAAAAGAAAGGCAACACAGACCAAGTTCATAGCCAGAGCATGTGAGAAAAGCCAAAGGCCAGCCCCGGAGAGAGCAAGGCAGTGGGGGCGGGGAGGCCAGATCCCACCCTCCCCAGCCAATCAGGTCCCTCTGTCTCAAGGGGACTGAAGGATGTGCTGGCAAGAGAGGGAAGGAGGATTTGGGGGGGGGTGATAGATGAGGCCAATGCTGGTCCCCATCCTGACCTTGGACTATAGGGTGCAGAATAAATGAAGGGACCCCCTGCACTTGGCAATAGGCCGAAGATTACAGCGTTGTCAAATCTAGCTTCAACTTGTAAGGCGGGGGGCTGTCCTCATAGGCAGGAGATGGGGTAGGGTAAAAAGGCCAGTATGACTCCACCAGGAGACCCTTATGTTGCTCCGCAGTCAGAGGCTGTAGGAATTGGGGCAAAAGACCCCCGTCTGACTTACCAGTTCAAGAAGGATTCCCCAGCCGGCAGCCCTAGGCTTCCTACTCCGCCCCAAGCCCCCAGGTGCTGCTCACCTGTAACTTGAGGTGCTGGCCAGGTGTGGTGACCAGGGTACAGCAACTCAGCCACAGCATGACAAGGATGGATAGGAAGAGACAGCAGAACAAGACCCACCGAGGTAGCCCCGAGCGCCTGTCCGAAGGGTAGGCACTGCTCAGCCTTCTGAGCCTCTTACAGCCATACCCAGCCCCGCCCTGCCCTACCTACAGGCACCCACCGGGACATGCAGCTGAGGAAGTCATTCTCTTGTTGGTCCTCGGGCTCCACCACAGCCTTGCTGGTCTTCACTCGGGTCTTAGCTCTCCTCACTTTGTCCAAAGGGCCTAGGGGGTCTAGAAGGTGAGGGGCCATTCAGCTCACCTGGTAAGGAGTGGAAAAGGGAGGCCAGGACTTGGGCAAGAGGATGTATAGGGCTGGAGTGGAGTTGCAAGGGACCCTGGGAAATGAACTATAAAACCTGGAGAGTGACTAGGAACCCTGGAAGACTGTGGAGCCCAAGAGACTGGTCATGGAACCATTGCAGTCTTACCCATGTGCACCTCCAGCGCCTCGGGGTGGGAGCCCTTCCAGGTCACCTCCACTCGCTGTAGTCGGCTCCCTTGGAATGCAAAGCTCTCTACCACAGGTTGGGTCTGAGCAGGGAATGAGATGTCACAGAGAGACACCCTCTGAGTCCCAGCAGGTGCATCTCAGACCCAACTGGGCTGGAGTTCATTGTTCAGGTGTCCAGGTAGCCCTACATCTCCTAGGGATCAGGTAGGAGAACACAGCCCCATGGGCCTTAAGCTCTTTGATAACCTCCAGGGATAGGAAGATGCCCAGGCCAAGGACACAAAATTGCTGACTAGCTAAGATGGTCATGTGACCCAACCAGTGGGAACCAGAGTAAACCCCTACTCAGAGCTGGTAAGACGGCTCAATAAATACAGGTGCTGGCTGACAACAGGGTTCTGTCGCTGGAACCTACATGAACAGGATGGTGAGAACAGAGTTCCTAGTGTCACCAGGATTTCACATGCCAGGAGGTGACTACTGGATGGTTCACCCTGTCACAACTTTCTCACCTGGAACACCACCACTTTCCGGTTGTCTGTCTGAAGGGAGTATGTCCAGGTGGAGGATACGAAGCCCTGGGCAGAACTCATGAGGTCGCTGCAGAGTGTGGAAAATAATTCCAGCAGGGACAGAGACCCACTGGGTGGTTCTAAAGCCGTTTTCTGGGAAGGAGAGACCCAAGACAGAAATGTCAACAGACTTATGCTG